AATCGATGAGGAACTCTTCGAAACTTAGTTTCTGCTATGCCACGCAGGCTCTTTGATGTTGCTCTTAAACAAGGAGGAGCTATAGATTATTAAATGTTGTACATATGCCATCAACGTTATAAATCATTTACTTTCTCAGGGTGACCTTATAATTATGAAACGATGCAAATGCCGACACTATCTTTAAAAAATTCATAAAAAATTAGAGGTGAAGGATATTGCGACCAAAATTTGAATACGGAGGTCTATTGTGATGAGGAATCTCCGTGTTTGCCAAAAAATTCCATTCCGGCTGCTTTCTCCAGAATCGCCAAAATCGAGGGTGACCTTATAATTATGAAACGCACTGTATCAAGATAAGATGAAGAGGAGCTGGGAGTGTTCTGCATGGATCTGGGTAAGTTCTGCAGACAAGTTAGAACTTTCGCCACAATTATTGGTGGCGAGATTCAGCGCCAAGAATTGCTTTTCAAAACTGCTCAGAAGCCTCACAGTGGGATTTAAGCTGGTGCGGAACGAACTATGTGAAGAGCGCTCCTAGCTTGTCATGTCCACTAACATCATCCATGGTAATTCGCAGTTACAGAGACTCTGACTCGGGATTGGGAGTCACCTGGTGGACAGCTCCTTTATGAAAAAGATCACATCATCCACATTTGAAAGCTTTGCCCGACTGACGTTGCTGGTGTTGTTGCGTTCTACACAGGGTCGGACCACCGTCTCCTTTTTTTTCGTGCGTAGAGAGAGCCGGAAGTTGAAGAGCCTATCTAGTCATTAGTTAGTTCGCTTTCCTTGCGATCTAGTAAGAACATTCTATTATCAACAACTCCGACGAGTAATGTAGCCGACCATCACCATAGCATTGTTAGAAAGCGTACAATTCGTACGATGAGACGCTGATACACTGGAGTAGCTTCGCGCAAGCAGCAGACAGAAAAAAATTTACCTCCGATTTCACAAAGCTATGCAGTGAAACAGTAAAGCAGACCTACACAAGAGAACAGCAGCAGCTATGAGTAGGGTTGAAGAGACGGGAAACAGCATTCCCTGTAGCATCGCCCATCACCAAGCAAGATAATTCTACTTTATGGCGATTTCGATAAAACAATTATCGCATGTCGAAGGACAATAAAATGGGCAGAACGGAAATTTTGTCCGTTCTGTTTGGTACTCGACGCGTCATCATGCCGATCAAGAGATCTGCGGCATCCGGTTTCGGCAGGTTAGAGCAGAAGCGACTCAAACGATTGATTGCTGTCGTCCAATCTAGCTGCTGTCTGTTATCTATGAACTTTCCACACATGTCATCTTTAAGAGAATCGGCAGAATGCTCGAAGAAGTACAGTATTGTGAGGATGCAACATTCTGTGAAAAGAAGTGATTACTTCGTATGATCAAATACACGCCGTCACAAAACTCATAGCAAGAAAACTCAGCAAAGTGTTGCTAAAACACAAATGCCGATGTTCGCTACAGTCACAATTTCACCTTTCTGAAAAAATTCTTGTCCGCGTGAAGATAGTGATATGTTAAAAGGGTACCATCGTGCTCGAATTGTTAAGCGCTTCTTTCGGGAGTCATTTGGAATGGGATGGCATAGAAATTAAGGTACACTACCAACATCTCCAGCATCTACGCTTTTGCGGACAGCATCGCTTTTGTTATGTTTATAACTTTGTGCATCAAACAGATTAAATGATAGCTTCCCGAATTTGACTACCCTTACGGAATGATCGATTTCCCACTGACTTTGAGGGGGGTTACGATCATGAGAAATGAGCTTTTATGCTTCAAGTAAAATGCCGGGATCGAGAAGACTACATGGTGAACGGCCCACTTCCGAAGCTGAATACAAAGAAACGCGCGGTGTGGGGAGCATCCAAAAATATCATTGGAATGCTGTGAAAGACGAAGTACTCCCGTCCCCACGTTCACCTCTTCGGAACTGCTGTCCTTTCTGCTTTAACATATGCCTCGATCACCTATACTCTACGAAAGCAGGGCTAGTATGGAGTCAAGGTCACTCAACGCTCTGTAAGAACAACGATGCTCAGGATTATTCGATCCGGCAAAAGCATAAAGGAAATCATCAGCGGATGAAGAGTAGGCTGTCACTCATGCTAAGAAATCGAAGATCGAAAGAGTCATGGGTTTCCAAGAGGACTCAATGGATTTCTGTGGTCATCGAGTGAAACTCTGGACGATCAGGAACTCGTTACTGCCCCCATACGTGCAGGATCTTTTGAACCACTTTGATTCGCAGCAGAACAATGGAGAGTTATTGAAGTGCGCTTGAGCAAATCGATGATGAACGAACGACAGGTGATACAGGTGATACATACCTATTTGGTCTGAACACACATTACTCGTGCTGTTTGCTGGTGAAAGAATCGTCCAGAAACTTTCATTTTGAATATTCTAACACTCGTTAACAGATGACAAAGAAAGCTCGCTGTATTGATTTACAGTAGCGCTCAGAAGTCTTCGGAGGCATGGTTCTTCAGTCGTACTTTTAAGTTGTAACTCCTTTCCTACTGGATCTAATAATGCATTTCCATATTTGGAGCGTGGGTGTATTGTGAATATGTACCACTATTAACCTGCAATCTGATAATGTTCCAGATATTCCAAAGAGCATGATCTCGAAATCGACTGAAAATACAGATGATGAGCCTTCTAGAATCTCTTCCTTTTTGTCATGTCTAAAGTGTACGAGCGGTAATGCCGAACACAATAGATGAGAAAAACGCACATAAGGTGCGAATAAGTGCAGACGTCAACAACTTTACTTTTAGCAAAATCTGCTATCGTAACAAACCCCTTGCTCTATCAGTGAATATTGAAGCCTCCCAGTCAAATAGTGTTGGGTATGGTGTAATATGCCCTAGTTAAACATATCCAAATTTCGGTCGATTTCGTCTACTAAGAAAAAAGCTATGAACGTCGAAGCATTTCACCGAGGACTTTTGAGCGCTGCTGTATTTCTAGTATTCGCTCCGTTCTGTATTAGCATTTAACAGTTAACAAATGATTAGGATGCTAAAATCAAATCACTTTGTTTATTTCTCTGTGCGACATTAATTTTTTCCCATGTTTTTTTCTGTGCACTCTATTCTACAGGAGAACTCGAACATACTCTTCCCGGCTTTCTCCGTTGTGTGCACATTCGTTATGTTATTTTTCGTCTACTTCGCCTGCCTGAACACAATGTGAGTTTAAGCTCAATACGATTTCTATTTCTAGTTGTGAAGTATTATATTGATATGATACTTCGTTGCAATGCTGCGTCACATGTGATTCCTAAAAGTTCACCAACATAAACACGTGTCGATATGCAAATACAGCGTGTTTGATCGGAGTCAATGAGACTTTGATGAATGTGATTTTTCAAAAACATCACATGAGCATCAAGCGATTACTACTTGACTTCTTTTTCTTCTTGGTAGGGCACAAGAAGTTTCTCCAGTTCAGTTTGGTTGCAGTCCCATGAACGCCTCGTAGAACACTAGAATTAAAGTGTTCGGAACCTGATAGAATGTAAACCTTCACTTATCTGAAGACGTTCGATAGTGCTGAGAAAAATTCCGAGATGTACAAATCTGCTTGATGAAGAACACGACCAATCAGAACATCCGT